CGCAGGTAAATAAAACGCGGCGATTATATTCGCTGCATCATCAGCTGCGGAGCTCGATTCAGCCATTGTGATTATGACGTCAGCCCCCAATGTTTGTCCCAGTCCAAGATGGCGGCTAATAACCTTGATCTATAGGGTCTATTTTATTCTCGACGTATAGTGGTTACGAATAGCATTGGTCACGGCTGTCAGACCGGTTTGTAAAAGTTGTCGACTTGTGAGTTCATAGCAGGCCGTTGAAGTGAGAAGGTGTGTCTTTCATAAGTAAAAATGTTGTATGATCTGTGTGTCGCCAGGCAAATACTAGAAGCTGTATGCAGTTGGCCTGAATGTTTATTGTATGTGTTCGAATAGTTTTCCTGTGTTGAAATTAGAGTATTTTTGAGTACTTTGGCAGCGGTGACCAGCTCGACTAGTTGTGTATAAATGTAGGTGACCAGCTGTGTATACAAGTAACGTAAGTGTGACATTATAGGATACCGTGATGTTACTGCAGCGTTGGAGGAAATCCTACGTACTAAGACGTTGACGGTTTATGTGCACTGTGTCGCAACGATAACTGGAACTCTAACCAACGACTGTGTTTTGACCTTTTGACCTTTACCTTGGACATTGTCCCATTTTACACGAAAATGCCTAATTTTTACTTTGGCTATAACTTTTGAACGGTAGATACTAGTACTCTCATGCTTCACATATGTTTTTTTTTTGGCATGACCTTTCATTGGATACATAAAACTTTGACCTTTTGACCTTGACCTTGGAGATTTCTGTACTTATGAAAAAAAAATTAACCTTGGCCAAAACTTTTGAATGATAAGGGCTAGGGTTTTCATACTTCACATATGTCATCCTTGTCATTTGTTTGTACAATTTAATAAATCGTTTGTACAATTTGTTTGTTAAATCGTTTGTACAATTTGTTTGTTTAATCGTTTGTACTATTTGTTTGTTAAATCGTTTGTACAATTTATTAAATCGTACAAACAATTTTTTAAATCGTACAAACGATTTCTTAAATTGTACAAACGATTTATTAAATCGTACAAACAATTTGATAAATCGTACAAACGATTTAATAAATCGTACAAACGATTTAATAAATCGTACAAACGATTTAATAAACTGTACAAACGATTTATTAAATCGTATAAACGATTTATTAAATCGTACAAACGATTTAATAAATCGTACAAACGATTTAAAAAAAATTCTACATTATTAAAATGGCACGAATACGCCGTCGTATAGAAAGCTTTTTTATAATGCATTTATTTTACCATCAATTTTATATTGTCTTTCTATTTGGGGTAATTCTCCTCAAACTCACATCGATAGAATATACAAACTTCAAAAACAAACAGCTAGGATTATTTTAAATGAAAAATATGCGAACTTCTATATTTACAGAAAAGCATTCTGATGTTCAATATATTTCATAATTTGTCTCCGGATTATATGCATGGTTTTTTTTTAATTTCAAAGTTCTGGGTCATACATTTTACGCTCAGAGACAAATTCAGAACTTCGTTTACCAAAATATTAAACTAATTTATTTTAAAATTCTTTACAAGATTCAGGGGTTATTATTTGAAATGAATTGCCTATTAGTATTAGGAATTCCCAATCCCTTACAATATCTAAATGTAGTGTTGAAAAGTTTTTGCTTATGAAACATACTGGTGCTACATGTAATTTATGTTTTCCTTTCTTTTCAATGAAATGTCAATATTTAATTTATTCTGGAGTAACAAAGTGTTTATATTTTATTTTTTCATGTTTGCAGTTATTGTCTTTATTGTATAAAACATTGTATATATGTTATAAAGAAGGCCCTGAGGAAGACTAGTGCTTGCACTAATCCGGTTACCTTCTATAAATAAAGTATTAGTATTATTATTATTCATTTGCTGACTATGTCATTGCATCGCCCATAGAACTTATGAAATGATTACTTTAAACGAGAATGCCAATATTTTTGTTTCATCAACTTGTTTGCCAATATTTTACTTCGTTTAAGAAAATGTTTATACGTAGAGTATGTTCTTGCGTATCGATACAACTTAGATGCATAAACTTATAATATGTGTGGCCTAGTTATTAAAAATCCTTGTGATATAGTTCTTTCTCTGTATGTATTTGCATATATTCTTGTATGTTAGCCATTTAAATCATCTGCGAGATAATCTTTTCTTTTTATGTAGCGATATACACACAGCCTGCTGTTATAATCTGTTGTTCCTACCAAGAGGAGATGATTTTTGTTATCATAGTCCAGACCCCCTGATACATTTATTCTGTGTTTTTTGGTGAAAATTGATAAGAAGTGACCATCCTTGTCAATCATTTGAATTGTTTTACTTTTAGCATCAGACACCAAGATGTTTGACAGAGCGTCTACACAAACTCCTAGTGGTGAAAGTCTTGATAAGGATGAGGAACCCGTGTAGGAGAAACGATGTCTTCCTGTACGATCTGTCACCACTACACCCTTGTTTAAGTCAGAAACAATTACATCTTCATTATGTTTTTCAGTGATGTATGCAGGGAATTTATACAGCTTCCGACCCTTGTCATTGTGTTCAATGACCTGAATTTGCTTTCCTCTATGACCATACCGCATTACCTTGGCATCTGTATTTACACATTTATTTTCATCATATCTCACTATCCCAACAAGTAGGTCTGCAGTGGAGGGGGAACAGTACACACTCTCTGCTTTCATTGGGTATTTGTTCTTTATTAGAGTATATGGAATTTTGTTGTATGTAGGCATTCTTTTAATGTTATTATGTCCGTCTATATAAATCAGATCCCCTTCACGGGTTACCGAGTGTCCTCCATAATTTCTTTTTGCATTTGTCACAGCATCTAGAATGTCACCTTTTCTATTGGCCAGGAGGATTTCATAGGGACCACTAATCCATAGCATGTCTTTGGTCGCACATGAAATGTGTCTACTTGCCATTCCCAGAATGAAAGATTCCTTTAACAAAGGTTCAGGCATCAGTTCCAGTAGCTGTTCAATTCTTGATTCTCGCATTTTTGTCTCTGTGATTTGTATTTCTTTGCCTAGTAACTTAATCAAATCAGTTTTGTTGATTTCATCATTCAGGGAGACTGCAAATGTAGCAGGAATGTTCCTTTCCCTTTGGGTTTGACTTTTCTATAGACACATTAGGAATTGCACAGGTTTATTTTATAACTGCAGTAACTTGTCTAAAAGCATTTCTGTGTTGGTAATATTCCTTTTTTGCACTCCTAATCTAGATTTTAGATAGAGTTTCATCTTTGGTCCTTCTAACCTAGATTTTTTCACCGGTCACGGTAGCCTAGTGGTAGAGCGTTCGCTTCGTGATCGGGAGGCCCGGGTTCGATTCTCGTTCGCGGCGCCGCGTCATACCTAAGACGTAAACAAAGGTAGTGACTGTTCCTTCGCCAAGCGCTCGGCATTAGAAATGAAAGTCACGGGTCTTTCGGATATGACCTTAAAAACGTAGGTCCCGTGTCACGGTAGGCGCTGGCACGATAAAGAACCCTCACTGCTCAATGGCCCTGAGTGCCGAGTATAGGTCTAAATTTGAAGCCCTTCACCGGCATACGGTGACGTCTCCATATGAGTGAAAAATTCTCAAGAGGGACGTTAAACAATATACAATCAATCAATCAATCAATCTAACCTAGATTTTAGTAACCATTCAAACTGTTTTAATTCATTTATATCATTCATTACTAAATCAACCATTTTCTTTAATCTCCAACTTCTTTCTGTCATACTTTGCTTGAGGCCAGATATTATGGATTTAAAAATTTTTCTGCCGGTTTTAATATCGGATTTAATTTTTGTAAGAATAGCAAGGTTGTTGAAGATAATATCAGTTCGTATGCGGACGATTCTGTCTTTGTGTTGGTCTCTGTACATTTTAAAAAAGCTGAGACAATGTCCTAAACATTATGATCAAGGTGTCCATCACATTCGGCACAGATTGGAAATTCACATGATAAACACCATTTGTTTACATATCTTTTTTTATGCCTCTCACAAGACTTTGGTTTCATGAAGTCTCCAGACTTAAACCGGTCAATCACTACATCGTGATACAGAGAGTCCAGGTCGATCAAATGCTTCTCTTTGCAGCGAACGCAAAGGCGTTTGGTACATGTCCTGCAATAGAATTCACGATCTCCCTCACAGTGAGAATATTTTGAAACTTTCAAATCTGTGTCCATGATTAAAGTAACATGTGGTCTTCATTTAAAAGGTTTCTGATTTCCCCACTTCTAAAATGTTTATTTATCACTTTTTGGCGTTGCAATCTAGATAAAGATAAAAAAAAGATTGTTAATAAAAATAATTGATTGTTGTTAATGAAAGGTTTTTATATCAGATTATCGATTAAAAAATTCCCTTATGATATACATCTATTGATTGATTTTTTTGTCCCTATTACAAAAGAAAATAACAAATAGTTTGATTTTAAACCCATGTAGGATTTTTATAAGAATTACAGTTTCGTGAACACTTAATCTTCGAAGTCGTTCAGATTCGTAAAATATTGATACATTGTGTATATAAATAACAATTGTATATATTTTGATATATTCTACATTTACCAAAGAATGGCAAAATGACAGATGTGAATTTAAAATATGTTATAAGCAAGATCAACATATACAGGATCATACAAGTACAAAAACAATTCCTTGATATCTTAAATAAAAATGAAAGAAACGATACATTAGTGTTGCAGTATGGAAACTGACATCTTCGAAGAGTTGTTTAAGGAATCACTGGCAAGTTAGCAGAATATTCCAGAGCATCGATGATATTTGGATACCTGGGATAATTTGCATAGCGGGCGGAGCATTCGTTGCCAAACGCCTCGTGTGCTCCTCAACGGGAAAATCCGTCATCAATTTAGTGTGTATAAATAATGAACTAACAATAAATGAGAAAAATGACAGTATATTCATTTGACTCGACTCAATGATAAATTGTATTTGCGGACAAGGTCATTGTATCGACCATAAAGCTTACGAAATGGGGATTTTGAACGAGACTGCTGAAATTCTTGTTTCATCAACTTGATTGTCAATAATTTCAGGTATTATGCATACATATAGCATGTTCTTGCGTATCAAATCAATTGAGCTTCATAAACTCCGTATGCAGGAGATGACGGTATATTGCTGAATATGTAAGAGAATATGAGGATTGAAAACTTAAAGTCATCAAGTTTATTATAGAGCTTGGTTAGATTACCATTAACGGTTTTTTAAGTAAAATATCCAAATATGAAACAGATATGCAAGACTCTGTGGTATCTTTTATCTCATGCTCACATGGATATATTGTTTCGACATAAGAATGAAAACAAAAATGAAACTCAAAGTTGAAAAAAGAAAACACGTGACAATTAGGATATAGCTTTATAAAATATGTCTACGTGACATGTTTGTGTGATTTACACACAAGCTCCTTAAATAACTAAAATGTTAAGACAATAAAATATCAGATAGTAAGTTTTTCACAACACGTATGGAGACCAAAGCGTACAAATTGTACTTACCAAAGTCACATGAGCAGTAATGAATTTACAGAAAATGAAGAGGTCTAGACGTGCACGGCTACTTCAAACTGTAATCATTCAGTTGATAGGCCCATCCAGGATGTTTGTTTGCTCTATGAATATCACGTTTTTAAAATCACTTAGCTACAGCAATGACTTGAATTCCTAAACAATTTTTAAAATTAAATTTCCATTTAATATATACATTTATGAATTTAAATGTACATTCACTGCAATCTTTGTCATGGTTGATAAACCATCAAACGAAAGATTTCTGTAAATGTTGATGATACTTTAAATGTACATAGTTAAGGAAATATATAACCGTTTCATGCTGGCTAGAAATGGCAATATAAAATTACTGCTATTTTTCAGTAATGTATATAATGTCAAAAGTATGTTGATTGTACAAGAAAATCTGGAAAATTCGAAGTACTTAGGAAGTTTTAACCACAAAAGTCCTGCTATGATCTCACAAATTAATTTTTGAGTTCTTACACATGGTTCAAATAAAAATGCATGAATTATTCCCAAAGTTCTTTATCATGCAAATAATTTATGTCAATATGACATATTTTGTTTGCTTGGGACGGGAGTGTATATAAAGGTATCCAACCTTGGTGTGTCATAACGTTTACAATTCTTTAGATTAAGGTGTCTTGCCGATATATAAAGTGTATAACTTCAAAAATTATGAATTTAATCTTTTATTTACACATGTATACATAATGTGCATCACTCCATTTTACTGTTGATTTAACGCTATCACGTGACGTTGTGATTCGACTTTGCAGATCACCACATTGTGGTTTTCTGAATTATATTATTGATCCCTAAAGTTTAATTTTGCTATATTTCGCTAGTTATAAGGGGGTATATAATAAATTAATTATTATAACAGTGACTTGATCGGAAAAGCGGTATCATGTCTTGTTAACAGGCGCGGGTCATCAGATCAAACTTAGCGTCTCGTTTGATCTGATGATCCGCGTCTGTCAAGTAGACTGGTCTAGTGACTTTCAATAAGAGTTGTATACAGATAGTGCTGATTCAGATAAACGAGAGTGTGGGAGTTTTTTGAACTTATATCGATTTTTTATCATGGCAAGAATCATTTGCAAGGAGACTAGCATATTTAGGGACATTACCTTTTCTGAACTGGTACCCATAGCAATGGTAACATTCTAAACACCGAGAGTTATGCATCTCATTGGAGTTTGGTCTTTAAGGGTCTGATTCATGATATTATAGGGAAAAGAGTACCAATTATTTTCCCATAGAACTCTATACAAACATTTTGTCCTTTCACTACTATACAAATTTAATTTTAGATAATTCATTGGCATCGCTTGAAACTTTAATCCAAGCACTTTTAAAAAATCCAAGAAAAAATATAGGGTCCCATGGCGCTTATAGGTCAAAATTGCAGTTCTTTAAAACTTATAGGTATCGGCATAATCTTAGAGATGCATTTTTATGCCATTCCAATAATTCCTTAAAAAATCAGAAGTCTAGGTTCTCTACAATAAAGATTTTATGATGTTGAAATTCTACATGTCCTGTTTGTAAGTCTAAGGGAAGTAACTCTAATTACAAAAACTGGAAAGCAGTAAAAAATGAGTTGTTGAGGGCTATGCTGATGAAAATAAAGGCAGCAAGAAAGGGAAAATACAGACCTAAGTGAAGCTACACCAAAGAAACAATTTCACTACAAATTCAATACCCTGAAGTCCAAGTAAATCAATCCAGAGAATCACACGCACTACCAGCCATAAAATGTCAAGAGAGAAAAGTGTGCAACTTTTACATGACCACTATGGAATGCCCCTTTTAGGTTCACCAGAATTATTTGAAAAGGTACCGTATGCAACCGTTAAAGAAATGAAATGAAATGAACACCAGGTCACAGCTCCTACAATGCCATACATGTACATATATATAGAACACAACACATAAATACACACATGTAAATACATATAATATTAATGTACATGCATATATTTATACAAACTTACTTCCACATAAATATTTATCATAAGAGCAATCTGATGCACTTTATTAACTTACTCCAACCCCCCCTTGGACAATATCAGATGCACCACGATATACTAATATCTACATTCTACTCACTACACCCCCCCCCCCTTATCGCAAACAGAACTCTTCTCAAATTTCAACACAGGAAAAACAATTCAATTTTTTTCATATTTACCTCTCTGCAGCTGTATGTCATCAATATTCGGATAAAGAGCAAAAATTCACTCTTCATGACTTTAAATTCACTTAACGAGGCCGAGTCTAATTCGAGTGCCCATCATTTTGCGCAGCTTTTTAATTTTATGCAGTCATTAATTATTTTAATTTTAATACAAAATTAACATTATTTGTATTTGTACTGATCTAAAAATATGATTTTACGACAATTATTGGAAAAAGAATGTTGAAATGGCTCTAACAACATCACCATAGATATGTATTTTTACCGTAATATGGCACTCTTAGAGGTATTTGGCTTCGACCTAGACCAGTCGAGATGGTGAACTTTTTTGAAATTTCACAGTTTGGTGACTTTTTACATTTACTTTCATTTACTTGAATGAAAAAGAAATCCCTAGGGGAGAAGTAAAAAAAAATATTGAAAAAATGTTAGAAATTGGCGATTTTCCAACAAATTCCCATAGGGTCCAATAGTAAAGTTTGACAACATTTAAGATGGCCCACTAAGAAAACGGGGCGGTAAACATTCGATATTTTAATCCTAAAACAATAAATATTACAGTAAAAATTAATTATCAAAAAATTATCAAAATTCCTAGGGCAGAAATAATTAGACTCGGCCTCGTTAACATTTTAAAAATTTTGGTCTCTATAGTGAAAAGAGTACCAATTATTATTCCATGGAACTCTATACAAACATTTTGTCCTCTCACTACTATACTAATTTAATTTCAGATAATTCCTTGGCATCGTTTGAAACGTTAGTTAAAGCAATTTTAAAAAAAATGGAAAAATATAGGTTCCCATGACGTTTATATGTCAAAATTACAGTTTTTTAAGTCTTATAGATATCGGCAGTAAATAATGCTCTGCAAAAAAATCAACCCCACTCCTATAATCTCCCGTGGTATTTCTATATTCTCTGTAATATTCCTACATTTCATCATTTATTTCAAATATCAAAATTTTAACTTTAAAATGAACAAACATTACATACCTCATTTCAGACAATCAGGTAATGCCGACCTATTCATTACTCGACTTTACATTGTGCCACAAATATAGCCGTGTGCTCATCGTGGATTTGGTACTCTCATTCCATTAAGCATATGTGTCTAAAGTGACATGAACTTAGACAGGTCTTTCGAGAAGCTGAAGCCGACCAGTCTGTTTTCAGGAAAATGTAGCGAACTCTCCTGGCGCCTTCTCTGCTAATACTTTTTTATTACAACATCTGAAAATATATTCTGCAGGTGCTAATTTATTGTCTTTTCTTGAATTATAACAGTGGAATCTTTTTCTTGCTATATTACTTGTACCTTGTTCATTTCACTTGTCAGGGAAACATACTGGTAATTATCAGAAATGCTTCTACCATTCAAATTAAAGTTTTCGTTTGATTTAAAAGGAATTGTATCATCATGTATAATCATTTTTTTGAATTTGTGAATAATAATTTTGTATTGGATAATTTTTCTTTTTGGTTTTTGTCACCTATATATCAGTGAACGGTTTTAGTCTACTGTTATCATTCTCTCTAAATCATTTAGATCTTTTAGTCTCAAAGTTCTAATTGTCTTCCTCATTCACTACTAGTATTTCTAACATTATTTGTTATTCGCCATTAGTCATAAAGGAAGAAGCAAAACTCTAATCAACACAAATGAAAATCAAAAAGGATTTAATAACATGAACATTGAATCTACATGCCAACTTATTTTTTTATTTGTAAAGGGAGAAGTTTTTGCTGACAGGCTCACGACCATTTAATCAACATGTCATTTTTTACTTTTGAAGTAAAGTAGTTATTTTATCAGTATTATTTAATTTTTCATGTACAAAGATTGTTTTTGCTAATATACTCTGCGTACAGGTACTTATAAACACATTACGTTATAGAGATACACATATATTGCAAGTATGTTACTTTGGCGAAGTAATCGGGATCTAGTTCATCAAAATTAAGGAGGTTTATTCAAAACAAATTCAAACACACAGCACCTTTAAATATTGTATGCATAAATGCCTTCGGTGTTTATGCAAATAATCAAGCAAGCTTAAGCCTCTCGATTAATATTATCATGAAACAAAAAAATGATGCAGTAATTATCCCCTTTACTACAACAAAGAACAAGGGACATGGGTTCATGGATCGAAATGAATTATATTGAGTAAAGTAGCGGGAGATTGTATGAAGTCACATATGCACAACAATACTTAATAGCTGGTTGTAATATCATCTATACGATACTACCATTAAACATTTTATTGTCTGTTTAAACTCTCCTTAAAATTAACAGATCATCATCTTTTGAAGAGTTTTTGGAATACATGTAATACAAGGATACAATTTATACAAATAGAAAGAGACACTGGGCCATTAGTGGCATTTATTAGATGTTGATTAGATTTGCTTTCTTGATACATGAAGTATGCTTCTCTAATGCATTAGCAAACAGTTTGTTTATAATTTATTGATCTTGAATATTGTTCTATACTTTGACAACGTTTCGTGTTCTGTTTCTCATGAATACCCCAACCCTGATAATATACCGCCATGAACGTGAAGGTGGCAGAGATACTTCTTCTGTGTTCAGTTTTACTGTTCTCAAAATGTTTCTCGCAATCCTTTCACAATGTCACTGTCTTGAACAAATATCTTCTGAATGAGACTAGAAACCTCAGAACGGTTCGCCCTGTTCATAACCAGACAAATACATCAGAAGTTACGCTACATTTGCTTATACACAGGCTTGTTAGTTTTGATGACAGACATGGCCTTCTTCGCATTGTCGGATCTTTTGGAATGTGGTGGAAAGACGAACTAAAGGTATGGGATAAAAACTATTTTGGTATTTCAAAAATTCACCTAAAAGCCAGTGATGTTTGGACACCAGAAGTAAATCTTGTGAATCAAGGAGGTGAATTACTTAACGTAAGATGTTCCACGGCCGAGGATGAAGTAACATACAACGATCAAGGAAACGCTTATTGTTTCATATCGAGGCTATTCATCGTTTCTTGTTCTCCAAATATGTTCAAGTTCCCGTTCGATGAGAATGTGTGCTCCTTTGAATTTCAAGCATCTGTAATAGAATCAGAAGTTAAATTTGTTCAACCAATATTTGATGCTGAAATTAATTTTGAAGAATCATTTTTGCAATGGAAATTGTTACCATTGTCCTTCAATTTAACAAAAAGTGAAAAATATCAAATATCGAAAGTCAACTTTTTTGTTCTTTTGAAGCGAAGTCCATATTTTATTCTTCTAAATATTATGTTTCCAAACTGTTTATTGGGATTTGTTCATTTACTTGTTTTCTTTCTTCCGATTGAATCAGGAGAGAGGATAGGGTTCTCCATTACAATATATCTTGCACTTGTTTTTATGTCCAAAATTTCATCGATTTTGCCTCAAACTAGCAACCCAATAAGTGTGTTTAATGTGATGGTATTTTCTCAGCTTTGGATTTCGTCCTGGATCATGGCTGCAGTAACTCTTATTTCTCGAGTTTATCACAGAGATGGACGTACACGTGTTTCTTCTTTGGTCAAGAAACTATTTTGGAGAAAAAATACTGAAATGGATGCACAAAATATATCTGACTGTCTGAACCCATGGAAGTATATAGGAAACTCTTTAAATAGAGCCATGTTTTATCTATTTCTTTTCAGTGTTTTAGCTGAAGTGTTGACTGTTTTCCTTCTAATAAAGTATGCATGAGACAAAAGACTTGATAAAATACATGCATGAATGAATTTGATAATTTATCCATTGCTTTTAGATGTATGTATGAATTATTGTTTGGATATATCAATATTAAAGCCAGTGATTTTTCATTGTTTAAATTTAAAGAACCTTTAGATTTTCATTCACTTTATTATCATTATTGTCGAAATTTCATTGTATCAAATGTTTGTTTAAGTACAAGGGTTGTTATAAGAGAATAGTAGGGTATGGGTTATATAGAGATATTAATGGCGGAGGAGTTAGTCCAGCGAACCAAAACGGGTTCGAACCCGGGTCACCTGGATTTCTATTCACATTCTCTACAAATTACGCCATCTGGCATCCCGCGATCAAAGCAGTCTGACCTCCGTTCACTCAATTAATGAGCTAGCCATCTTGATTGTCAGTGAGATTCTCCTCTCTGTGTATGTATCAATATACACTCACCCTGCTGTTATAATATGTTGTTCCTACCAAGAGAATGTGATTTTTGCTGTCATAGGCCAGACCCCCTGATACATTTATTCTTTTTATTTTGTTGAACAGTGATAAAAAGTTACCGTCTCTGTCAATCATTTGAATTTTTTTGCTTTTAGCATTAGACACCAGAATATTTGACAAAGCGTCAACACAAACTCCTAGTGGTGAAAATCCTGATCCTGAATGAGGACCCGTGTACGGGAAACGGTGTCTTCTTGTACGATCTGTCACCACTACACCATTGTTCAAGTCAGAAACAATTACATCTCCATTATGGTTCTCTGTGATATATTTAGGAAGTTTATATAGTTTCTGACCAGTGCTATCTTCAATGATCTGACCTTGCTGTTCTGAACCAGCCATGTTATACCGCATAACTTGGGCATCTGTAAATATATATTGGTTTCTATCATATCTCACTCTTCCAACCAGGAGATGTCGATTGGAGGGAGAACAGTATACACACTCTAATTTTCATAGATCCATTCTCTGAAAATTAATTAGTGTATTTCGAGTTTTGTTATCTGTAGACAAAATGTTGATGTCATGATACCTGTTTAAATAAACGAGATTCCCCTCAAGAGTCACAGTATGTCCTCCAGTAGAACTGATTGTATTTGTCACAACATGTAGAGGGGCACCAGTTGTGTTTGTCAAGATGATTCGTCCATAAGGGTCACTGATCCATATATATCAGATCTCGTGTGATACAAGAAATGTGACGAACCACCATAGCGCCTATCACAGTGAAATACTTATGTAATACAGGTGAACACATTAGTTCCAGCATCTGTTCATTTCTAACTTGTCGCTTCTTTGTCTCTGTGATTTGGATTTCTCCTACTGACTTGATTATATCTGTCATGTTGATTCTACTTTTCAGATCAAATAAAAAAGTGCTCGGAATGGTCCTAATCCTTGGGATAGGGGTATTTTTTAAACATAAAAGGAATTGTACTGGCTTGTCTAATAACTGTTCCAATTTGTAAAGATAAGTTTCTTTTTTTGTAATGTTTCTCTTTGGTTTTTGTAATATAGATTTTAGTAATGTACACTCTTTGAATTCATTTATATCATTCACTACTAAATCAACCATACCCTTTAGCCTCACAGTTTTCTTTTTCATGCTTTGCTTGAAGCCAGATAATTTTGACTGATAAACTTCCCCACATCTTTTTACATCCGATTTCATTTTTGTAAGAATACAAATATTGTTGAAAATAATATCAGTTTGTATGTGAACAATTCTGTCTTTGTTTTGGTCTCTGTACATTTCATAAGCTGAGACGATATCCAGAACTGTATATGATTTCGATGTTCATTACACTCTGCACAGACTGGAAGTTTACATGAAAAACACCAGTATTTATAGTGATGCATGTCACAAGACGCTTGAATCACGACGTCGCCATATTTTAAACGGTCAATCACTACCTCGTGGCATTTGGTATCAAGGTCTGTCATATGTTTCTCCTTACAAAGAACACAGAGATCTTCTTTACACGTCGACGTCCCCTTCACACTGAGAACATTGTGGAATTTTAAACTTTTTTTGGACATTTATATCCATTGATTATCATATAATATGCTTACCTGATTTACATGATTGGTCAATATCCAGATATTACATAACTCTTCATTGTTTCACAAGAAAATGTGGGGGGGGGGGGTAACCCACCAAATCCAGGTTAAAATATATAAGGACCACTCCTCAGTTGGATTATTGTGCGATTACTACAGAGAAATGTTCAACAGTGGGTATCGGGTTGTAACCCGTCGGTAGAGATCAGAATAGTAGTCTTGGGTTTTTGATATTTTATATATGGATAATAAAACCTACAACATTCATACAAAATACTAAACATTCATACTTTACACACCATTCACTTACTTTAAATATCCGTACTTTACACCAACTTTACATTTAAATTACTTCAATAAATATATAACTGGAAATTATGAATATATATAAAAGCTTACCAGTCTACATCACCCTATATGCTATACATTATTTGCGTGCTGCTACCTTGACGGTGTGCATGCGTATGGGCGGACAGGTAGTAAAAACAGGTTTTGTTAGTGAATACAACTCACTCCCTTCATCATACACCCCTTTCTCTCTATCCTACTAGATCACATGACACTGACAGCGAATGACAATAAAGACAGAAAAACAATGAACTAGCCACAAATACCAATAGGTAGATCCAGCATCCAACACCTGGCTACAGGGTCATTGAAGACTTCATACTGACCGAGCATCTATTGTTTTGAGCCCTTTAAATATAGTTTGACTAGTAAGGATCTAGTTGTTACAAATACCAAAACACTTGAACATGGTCAAGGTTTCGCAATAGAGTAATTATTCATATTTAATAAATGATTTTATTTATTTATTCAAAGAACTGGGAATTTGAAGAAACTCGTATAGAATACACGTATTTATATAACAAAAGGAAAAAAAATATTCAGCTAAGCGAAATATTATTCCATTAGGTAGGTTGTTGTTTGCAATAGAATATGACCACCTAAACATTGATGTTTACCTCTTTAAGACAGGATCATTTTCAAAGGAATACATTTCCTTGGCATCTAAAGTCACCAATATATAGTTTAAAATATATTTATTCAATAATGAAATGGATCGAACAGCAGGCATAAATGCCTATGATCGTTCTCTCCAATATATCTGTCCTCTCAGAAGAAAGAGATGTTAAAATGTTTTCACTCATCGCCATTCACGTGCTCTCGGTATGAATATATTTTTGTTAGACCCTTAGAACAAACTCTATGACAGTATTATGACTGATTTGATGAGCTCGTTTGAACAGGTCGTAAGGCACTGGAACTGACAAGGGACATAGAAATGGAAATAAACCAAAAATTGGGTTAAATGTGTTAAGTGTTCTTAAATGGACATTGCGTAACAAAAACCGTCACTTGTACCAATAAATCAAGGCAGTTCGGACTCTTGAAGGCGTTATTAATCGGTATTTTAACCATAATGAAACATAGAGATATACAAACGTTGCACAAGACATCGACCTAAATTATAGCAAAATGACCACTTATATCATTGAGTAGTGTATCACAATGAGAAACATTTTAAAAGAAACGAAGTCATAACCTGACAAAAATAAATTTAGATGTATTTAAAACCAAGGGTTTTCAAATAAAAGCGTACAATGGAGATGTTTTATTAAAAATAGTTGTTTTTTAATAGTATAGTATTATTTTTCAGTGTGACTTTGTACACAAATGGACATGGGGATTCCTTATTATATTTAGGAGATTCTTCATTCTTTTAAAAAAATATTTTCAGAAAGGTTGATAATACTGAAATAAAACAGGGGCAAATAAAAGTTAGAGATTTAGTTTTAATGTCTTCAACGAAATTTCACTCTTAAATGATGAAAGCATTTAATCATTATCCTAATGTGCTAAAATGATCCTTAGATGACTGAATTCCCAACGATGGCCCTCAAAACAACAACAACAATTGAACTTTTGTTCAGTAGATTTTATTGCTTTACGTTTTATTGACTGAAATATTACATTGATACATAGATGTTGATTGAAACAAGATATTTATTCATATAAATATAGTATTGTGGATTGTAATATATCAGAAAGAACCCCGGAATATATTTTATATAGTATATCTAATAAGCACAAATATATACAGCCTGACTACATTGATATCAGTACATGTAAGCAAGTAAAAGTCGTTGTACCAAAATCATTTTATATTTTATTTTATCTCATACGTGTTGGTGATACAAGCCGTTGGATAAACTTGTGCTTTATCAACGGGTAGATGCTTTATCAATAGCACTTCCGGTTTTGACACGATCCCTCGCTTCAGATTTTATTTTATATTGAAACTTTTATTTGTGAAAATTGTTGCCCTTATAAAATGAATGATAAAGAGTAGTAATATCGTTAAAAGCAAGAAAAAGACTGGTATATGTCAAAGAAGTGTCTTATTTTATCAAGGAACCCGTTGGCTATTTGAAGACAGATGTTAACACCCCCCCCCCTTTAAATCGTTTTCGGAGAAAGTAAAGCCTACCAGTTAACTTGTTGTTGTGAGACTCCTTTGACATCTTTAACAATGCTTTCTTATATTATACTACGTATGCCTACCTAGTAATGCAGGTGAAATTTACCATGGATCAGCAAACAATCTAGACAAAGTCTAGGCCCTTAGCCTTGCCTAGCACGATTTGTACTGCCATCGTAAAAAGAGTTGATTTTCACGATCCCCATAATCCTAACAACTGTCAGTCAGAAGTTCGTTTGATGTACAGCTCCAACAATTTTCACATGATGTTTTCAAAGACACAGATAGCAAATATTCTAAATTTTGAACTCGATCTACTTTCTCTCGACGCATGTAAACATCAACGGTGCTACGTCATCAAGTTATACGTCATCAATTTGATTTTGGCAGTCATTTATGTAGTTTCGCAGGGGAAGTCTCAAAGTTTTATTCAAAAGAGAGTCGTATGAGATAAATAGAACATCTATAATTGTGTGATTTGATATTGGCTTTATCCAACTCGTTGAAATGGTGTATATTCGCTCGGCAAGCCTCGCGAATATATACACCATTTCAACTCGTTGGATAAAGCCAATATCAAATCACACAATATAGATATCCTCTATGTCTTCGGAGCCTGGGAATCAGGAAATGTAGGTGACTCAATTTCAGAATAATGTCAGTAGGTTACTGAACTCTGTGAGAGTCAGAGAGCTAACTTTAGTACATGTATATGAGTGTTTAGGAGGGGTGCTAACCCCTCCTAGGCACCTGATCATATTTCTGAGATTTTTCCTGTTTATTGACTATATTTTTGAGTCTGATCTCTGATCTGATCAGTATCTTTACTTTTTACCTAACTGACCCTGTACGATCAGGGAAAATTTTAAACTAAAATTTACGACTGACAAGATGACCATAACTTTTCAAATCTCTAGTTTATTTATTTAGACAGGAAATTGATTTAAAAAAAAAGAAATTTAAAGAAACTTTTTATGAAATAACTTTTCAATTACTTGGAAGCTAAAATTTAAGCAAGAAATCTCAAAAGTCGTTGTTCTATCGATATTGTAATTGTTTTAATTGTGTACCTTAATAAAAATCAATGCTATATTTTCTACCTCGTTTTAGAAATTGTTCATACATAGAACATGCTCTTCCCTATCGAATCAACTGAGATATAGTATAAACTCCACATGCAAGTCACAAAGGTATATTGCTGCATAAGCAAGCGAAGTTGATGATGGAAAAATTAAAGTCATCACGACTATCATAAAGCTTTTTGTTAGATTACCATTAACAGGTCGAGACCACTAGATTTTCTGACGTCAGAATAAATTTGCATGTAAATTAGCTAAAATGTTTACTTTACCTACTTCTGAATGAGCCGCAATGCATTGTGGGCTACTACAAGTACCTAGCCGTGTTGAAAATTAAAGGCAACTTGAATTGTCCCTTGGAAACTTATTTTCAATTCTTTTTTGAAATTTGTGAAAGAAATATTTAAAATAATGCATAATCTTTCATTTTTATGCTCACATTTACAAAATTTGCTTTATGAAGCCTTATATCAATTTATAATACATCGGTCAGTATACCTTTGTTCAAAGAGACGTATTTACTAGTATAAGTGTTATCGTGTCGATAAAACATTGAGGTTTTTTTCACGTGATATACGTGTACATAGCTTTCGCTATATAGGTCCTTGTTTTAGACAGCAGGAGAAAGTGTGCAATTATTATTTAACCCCTCAATATTATCAGAAAGTGTTTTATGTATATGCAAAAGTCAAAGCGTTTGTACGATATTCGAGGCAACTGTTAATCATCTAAAACAACTCCAATATTAAATGTGAGCATGGAGCAGTGTCTTTAGAATATAATCTTTCAATTTCGGTCTAAAAAAGTTATAAAGATGCTCTAAAGTTTTTCCGGTGACGAGTTAAATTTTGTGCAGTAAACCGATGAAAACCACGTGTAGCCATTGAATCGTAAACACGTGGTAGACTGTTATGCTTTGGGACTCTTTCACTTGATTGGAGATCGGACGTGACGGAGACATCGTCACGTGTTGAAAATTGCCTTCCATATAAGGTAGTGGTCTCGACCTGATTAACGCCCTTTTAGTAGAATATCCAAATATGAAACAGATATGTTTCTTTTGAATACATGTCCATTGAAAGCATGTATTTTTACACCAGTTTAAAAGATTTCATAATTTTAAAAAGAACAAAAGGATGGTTTAAATCATTATCTAATCATTTAATCTTCTTTTTATTGGTAATTTACGGCAAAGCATGAAGCCCAGTAGTGACATTTTTTTCCAAATGTCCCAATACGCTTGTAGAAAATAAAATGTGGAAAACTGACTTCGAACACATAGTTTAGGTCATACTACTTGTCGATTTTAAAGGGACCAAAAAATCCGTTTAAATCTTGTTTATCTAAAATAAATACAAAGATAAAAGGAATGCGAAGGGTTTTTGTAATTTTCTTGCTAGGCTATTATCTAGAAAGTGTAAATAAAATGGAATAAGATCAATGTTATGAACTCCAGCACTCAAAAATAAGAAGAAAGCCGCATGATATCTTTTAGGCAATTTAAAAAATGGATATCAAATGGTTTAATTTAACATTATACCCCCGTAATACCGATCTTGAACATACTTGACTTTGGCCAGGGAATCAATCTGACAGTTATATTCACCCATGGTACATCGAAGAAATACATAGGCAAATCGTCTTAATTAGAGTATAGTGTTCTGATTCGACTATTATTTAAGAAATAAATTGATTGCAGTTAAATTAGGAAGCATGGACGTATTGTTTCTTAAGGCCCTGTCACATCAAGCTTCGTCAACACGAAGTCATTACGCTTTGTTAAATTTGAAAAATCGCCATGGAATCACAGGGAAATTACACAATGTTTTTCTAAAATTCTCTCAATGTGATTTTGTCACGTTTCTACAGCGTTCTCCGGGCGTGCTACTGCTTTCCAACGGAGATCTTTTGGCTCATTACTGCGCTTCCATGGAGTTTTCGCGGCATGTTAGGAGTTGTCACCTCGCGTTCACGGCGTTTACACTGCGCTGGCGGCATTCACAGAATGTTCATAATGCGTTCGTTACCTCTGGATATATATTCAGAAGGTATTTGACTTTTTATTTAAAGATTACACGATTAAAGGACTTCTACTTGTGTCAAGAAACATTCTTTAATGAAAAAAAATTATCTTGTTAATAATTTTATACTAAATTGGTGGTTATTGATAGTTTTATTATGAAAATCCATCTTTATAAGATTTTAATAATTCATATGTGTTTATATCTCGATCTTTATTGAGTTTATAATGTATGTAAAAAATAGAAACAATGAAAGGTTAGAAAAAATTATTAATTTCACCGCAACTCCACTGAAAAACAAAACATCTTCTGGTGTAACTTATACTTCTTCCACAGTCTACTTCCGTGTTCCTGGTCAGGAGAGCCATTGCTCTTGATTTGCAAGCTGGTTGACAGCGCTCTTATGACACAAATGAAGATAACGAACGGTATTCTAGATCAGAAGTCCATGAAACAATACCAAATAGAAGCAGAGGAAACACGGACCTCCAAAACATCAGAGTTTGGATCAGATGCCATGGAAGAGTGACCATTCCCAGCCGACCGGTCACACCCGCCCTGTGCATCTTGCCATGTTCAGGAAAAACCGGGGGAATCCTTACAATTCAGTGTATAAATAATGGACTAACAATTAGTATGAAAAACGTCAGTCTGCATTTGACTCATTGATAAACACATCATGCGTGAAAGCGCATTGTGATCGCCAATGGAACTGTAATAACGCCACGTAGCGCAGTGATTACAGAAACGACTCCTTGCAGTCGCTGTGTAATCGCAGTCATAAAAATCACAAGCCGATTAATCACATCAGAAACGCTGCAAAAATGCGAAAGAAGTGCAGTGACATATCCAAGGACTACGCGAGATCTCCATGGAAGCGCAGTCTACTATCAATGCGTTTATGCTGCGATCATGTGTGTCATCACGAGAATCGTACGAAGCTCGCACTGCGTTGTTTGAGATCTCACCGCGCTACTACGGCGAACACACAACACTTCCACCCCTATCTTATCAGACGGCGATCACATTATGCATACTTTATGCATACCCAAAGTGCGCGCTGTTCCCTGGCATTATAGGAGACCTTAACCGACCCTACCGCGTTCATTGGAGATCTCACCGCATTGTCACGGCGATGTAGATGACACTACTGCGCAAATCTCTGCGTTTTGCATTTTTTAAGGACGCCGTGCAATCTCTTTGAAGATGCAGGTGCCCCGGTCGTGTTTTAAGTACTCTTTTTTAAAATTTAACCAAGCTGAAAAGTCTGTTAAATCAGTAATATTGTCCATCAATTGATTTTTCTGTAATTTTCCTATCATGACAAGAAAGCATGGCGAATGTAACCAGTCGACAGAGTATGTTCACTCCTCCATGGCACCTGAACCCCCCACCCTTTAATTTTTTCGGAAGTCCTTGTTTGCACTGCTCCCATTTTGATTTGTTTAAATGGACTTAAAGCATACAAAGAAGGAGAAAGTAACAGTGTCCAATATATTGCTATATATTGCTTTTAAAGTTACTACCGGTATCTATGAATAATTTCATCATTCATAACATATTTTTAAAATCTACATATGTATTTCTATCAGCTTTATTTCGAAAATAGTGAAATGTTTTTCTATCTATATATACACACATCTGTAAGACTTCAATGTCCGATGGTCACACTTATATTTTATGGCCCGCGTCCCATGAGACTCCAAAGGGTGCTGAAAAAAGTTAATTTCGTCACAATATTCCGGCACCAAATCCATGAGGCCGTTGCCATGCATTTAAAACTTATTGTGTCCACCCACTAGAAATATAAGGGATATAATTCTCGAATACCGCTCGACTCATAAAGTTTGGTCCACGTACACTGTTGAACTTATCATGGAATAGTTTTCCACAAAACTTGAGAGTTTAAGGTTTAGTCTACGCACACAGTTGGACTGAATAGGAATAGTCTAGTAACCACCCAAATTATCTCGGCTATAGTTTTACACTTTTCGACCGATTATAGCTTTAGTCTCACAAATAACTGGGAGATAATGGTTGGTCCTCGTTTTAATTTTTTTTTAGCGTCTCTCTCGAGAATTTTTCACACATATGAAGACGCCACCACTTGCCTTTGAAGAGCTGCAAATTTTTATCAACGCTTGGCACTCGGGCTATTGAGCAGGGAGGGATCTTTCGCGTGCCAGCATCTACTATGACACGGGACCTTGGTTTATATGCTCTTATCCGAAGGACCGGTCTCCACCTCCCACAGTGGAATTCGAACCCGCGACGTAAGGATCAACTCCTTACCTTGCAACTCTAGAGCAGGACGCTCTGACCACTGCAACGCGGGCGACTAATATCTTTTAATATTTATTTAAAACAATTGGACCTTGTCATGGTGTGGAATTTCAATTTTGCGCTTCAGTACAACGCCGTCATGAACTTTTTTTTTTCGTTTCTCCGTACCGTCGGACTTTGCTGTGTCAAACTATCAGGGTTTCGTGCAGATTTTTGGCCTTGGCGTGGTTTTGGGGTTTCATTGAACTTAGGAATCCTACATACATATTTTTCTTTCAGATCAATATCACTGTATAGCTTAAATGAGATGATTTCTTTGGAATATGTATCTGTAAACACATAATGTGTTGTCATCATCCGATGTTCCAGTCCAAAGTAGGTGACTTCTGTTGTCATAACCCAATGCCTGAGTTGCTTGTATCATGAATTTTATGTTGAACAACAATGTTATAAAGTTATCGTCTTTGTCAACCATCTGAACCGTGTTGCTTATAGCATCCGACACAAGAATGTGTGATAGCCCATCTACACAGATTCCTTGTGGTGATAATTGTGATTTTGGTGGAAGTCCTGTGTAGGAGAAGCGATGTCTTCCCCCACGATCTGTCACCACTACCGCGTGGTTATATAAATCGGACACAATTATATCTCCGTTATGGTTTTCTGTGATGTATTTAGGAAATTTATATAGTTTTTGACCTGTGTTACTGTGGTGTATTGTCTGAATTTCTCGACCTTCAATGCTATACCGCATTACTTTGGCATCATTATTTGTAGGGTTATCTTTTTTATATCTCCTCATCCCAACCAGGAGATCTTCATTGATAGGAGAGCAGTAGACACACCTTGCTCCCCATGTTTCTGTACTCTTTACAAATGTATATTCTGTTTTGTTGTCTTTGGACAATTTGTTGATGTTATAATACTTGTCTATATAAATCAGTGTCCCCTTACTGGTCACAGTGTGTCCTCCAGTGCGACCAACTGTATCTGTCAAAGTGTGTAAACGAGTACCTTTTCTGTTTGTCAGTATTATCTGTCCATTTGGATCACTAATCCATACCATGTCAGTGGTCACACAGGAAATGTGAAAAACCTCTCTAACACTTTCTACTGTTAAAAATTTTTGAAAAACACCAGGTGACAACTTCATAGTAAGTAGGTATTCATTTAGTACTTTTCTCCTTCCTGTTGCTATGAATTGGATCTCTACTAGTAATTTGATTTCATCTATCATGTTTATTTCACTTTTCAGTGAAAGAGAATAGATATCAGGAATGTTCTTAACCCTAGGGGTTGTGGTTTTCTTTAGATAGAAAAGGAATTTTATCGGCTTGTTAAAAAGCTGTTCTAATTTGTGTATAAACATTTCTGGTTGGGTAATGTTTCTCTTCGGTTCTTGTAATCTGGATTTTAACATACCTATATCATTTATTACTAAATCGGTCAGATTCTTCAATCTTCTACTCCTTTTTAAAATTCTTTTCTTAAGATCAACTAATTTGGACTGCACACTTCTTTTGAAATCAGATTTGATACTTTCAAGGATAGCTTGATTGTTTGATCTTATCTGAATTATTTTGTCTTTGTGTTCTTCTCTGCACTTTTCATAAAGCGAGATTATGTCCAGAATTTCATGTTTACAATGTTTATCACACTCGGCACAGAATGGTAATTTGCACGACAAACGTCATTTTTCTAAGCACTTGTCTTGATGCCTGTCACATGACTCTGGTATCACAGAATCACCATACTTTAATCGGTCAATCACCACATTGTGGTAATTGGTATCAAGGTCTAACACATGTGCTTCTTTGCAATGAACACAGAAATTTTGTTTACAAGTTTTACAGTGGAATTCAAATTTTGCACTACAATAAGAACACTCTGTATATCCAAGTAGTACGTCCCGGAAAGCCTTTGTATTCATGGTTGTGTTTCTTTTTTATTTTAGGAATTTTTCTCTCGCTTTTAGCCTGCAAACTAAAAATACATAAAATTCAGAAGTTAATTTTTATCGTTTGTTTTCCTAACATGTTGTAGATAAGATAAATAAGATAAAATCATACTAAATAAATCATTTTATTAATAAAAAAAAAACAACAACATAAGACTGAAAGCTGATATAACACACAAGTATTTTGAAGATGATAATATCGATATACTGTATTTTCTTATTGACAACATTTTTGTAGTTTTTAGAGACCAGGTTGGAATTCCGATGGACAAGTCATTTTTCTCCTTTATTTAGCAACTAATTTTTATATTCCCGTTAAGCAGAATGTAATGAAAAATAAAACACTTGTTTTTGCCTTTATCTAGACAATATATATTTATTTATATATGTATATGCGAAGTTTTATTAACCTAAAATATTTTTCCCTTTATAACTTGACTCGATTTATCCCAGTGAACTTGAAATAAAAGAATCACAGTGTCTGCAATTTCTGATTTATATTTGAGTGTTTTACGGGCTACAAACGACAGAGGTCAATTTGCAAAGAAAATTTATGACAAAAAATTAAAAATGCTTTGACATTTCTATAAGAAACCATCCATATTTATGTAGTAATATTCCCCTATCACCTGGATATGGTGTCTAAGTGTGCTGACTTTTTCGCTGGCGAAAAGCATGCTCTGAGTATGGTCTATCTTTAAACAGGGACAGGCTACTCACACATATGGTAATGTTACAGGCCTGGGATTTAAAAATTAAAATCATAATTTTGACCGTTAATATTTTGGTCCTTGTAATTACCTTAAAAGCAAATGTAACCTATCACTTGGTCGACTTTTGGCTGACTCTTTTCCCAAAAATTCGAGAGAACTTTGATTTCGCACTAAATTTTAGGATTTCCATCGCTAATGGGACCAAATTCCATACCCTTAAATATTCGTCAAGTACATAATACTCTGATATCACATTAAAGTATTTTATAATGGAAAAGGGTTGACCGCGAGAAAGTTTCAAAAATTTTCTTAATTAAGCAGTAGTTAATTAACAAAGATTGCATTTAAGTCTATGGAGAAAAGCGTTTTTCAAAATAAAAATTGAAATACTTTGAATATCAATAAATTCTGCGGTGGAAAGATGCATCGAAACATTAAAAATAGAATGATAATTCAAAACTTTTTTTTTACCGGCTACAATTCTTTTGATTGATTTTTTTTATTAATTATAAAAGGGGAGATAACTCTCACCAAAATTCATGGTCATTAATAAGGACACATCCCCTACTAAAAGTAATTGATGGGAAGTATGTCTAAATAATTTTTTAGTATTCAATGCCTACATATATCTTATGTATTCAATTTCATTGAATATGTTACTATTAGGGATTGAATACCTTAACTAAAAATGTTCCTTTTACTTGATCACAAATGGACAGGTTGGGATAAATATCTGACAAGACGATATAAAGATAAACAAATTTATGGTCTCTATCCTTTTGATTATATTTAGAATAAATGATTTGACGTCACTGAAAAAATAGTTTAACGCGAATTGAAATCTTAGGTATTGTATATTTTTTAATATTCCTTCCACGTAGAGTAGTTAAAATATAAAACAACAGAGAGATCATGACAAACTTTTGTATATTAAGATTGAAGGAAACATAATTAACAGGAAGAAAAACAGTTTAAAAGATTACAAATTATAGTTTTAAAAGGATACATCATATACCTGACAAAATTCTACAGGCTGTAATACACTTACCACAACATTCAATAAAATTCAAAAGACATCGTAAGGTGCACGGATTCCTCTATATAGCTGATTTAATACCTTTAATACAAGATGATCATTGTTACTGGGAGAGCCAGGATAATTGTCTGCTCACTAAATACACATAGGCTTTTTAAATCATACAATTTCTTGCTTTGTGCTTGTTTCAATTAAATCTACTTGTATCTTGCATTCACCATTCACAATTGAACATATTTTAAGTGACAAATATCAAATGTCAATGAAAAGAGAACAGCAAACACATGGGATTTAAACGTTTATTTTGTCAAGGTCTGTGATATCCATTACTGTCATTCTAATTGTTTGGTTATACGAGGACGGTTAAAAAATTACGCGCACTTGTTGCACAGAAAAAATATTTGAAGAAATAATCAGGAAAAATGTCACAAATAATATAAAAGAATCTATACATATATGATCCTCAAAATTTCATATCAAAATGTTGTAATTTGTATCAATTTTGAGTGATTTATCAGGACATATCATTGAGTCACGGAGCAGCAAAATCTTCGACATCACGGACATTATAAAAAAAATTGAGCTTTCATTTTCTCAACATTTTCCCAATAGTATCAGGCGAAGCGGAGCAGTCACATTAATTCATAGATACACCGATGATTTGAATATTTTTTTGTCCGCGAATCGTCGCCCGACCATCAAACGTTGAGCCATATTTTGATTTTCACGGTCGGCCGATTGCATAAACAAGTTCTCAAACAATCGGCGGTTTTATCGCCCAGTAGTTATTGCATGCATGCTTTTACAAAGCGGTTCCAAATCGAACACGTTGCTTTTCCTAAATTACAATCATGGGTCCAGTGAAAGGAAGTCCCCCAATAAAGAAGGACAGCGAGGATACACAAACATTATCCCATGATAATATGCAGCATGGAGAAGAGCCGCCTGTTAAAATAAGTGGGAGAGGAAAGCCGGGGAGGTAGGGGAAGATTTATAGGAACAAGAGGCACATGGGCCACATCGCACACCCGAGCATTGTGGCTAGGACAAAGTAGAAATTGGTTTACTATTTCAAAGTTTAAATCCAAACGTTTGGCCCCGCCCTATCCCCGGGGGCCATGATTTGAACAAACTTGAATCTACTCTACCTGGGCATGCTTCCATATAAATATGAGCAATTATGGCTTTGCTGTTCTTGAGAGGAAGATTTTTAAAGAATTATCCTATTATGATATATTTCTATATAAAACTTTGGTCGGCCATTGTGGTCCCGCCCTACACCCTGGGGACATGATTTGAACAAACTTAAATATACACTACCCGAGGATGTTTCCCCATAAGTTCCCTCTTTCCTGGCACAGTTGTTCTTTAGAAGAAGATTTTTAAATCAAGCCACCAAATTCTCACTTATTCTCAATTATCTCTCCCTGAATGAGGGCGTGGCCCTTTATTTAAACAAACTTGAATCTCCTTTACCCAAGGATGCTTTGTGGCAAGTTTGGTTGAAATTGGCCCGGTTTTTGAGAAGAAGTCAAAAATGTGAAAAGTTTACAGACAGACGGACAGACGGACGCCGGACAAAATGTGATCAGAAAAACTCGCTTGAGCCTTCGGCTCAGGTGAGCTAAAAACTCTCACCAGAAAGGCGGTCTCTGTTCCTATTCCAGACCTAGGGGAAGTAACAGAAGTAAGGCCCAAGAACAAGAAGATGAGAATGAGGAATGCAAAAATGTTTCAGTTATGCTTTCCAAAAATGATTAATATATTATAGACTATGTGTGGCACAAGGCTCCCTACACCTTTGACAAGTACGATTATAGATATAGAGATACAAAGCAAAAAGAAAGGAATTATACTTCCAAAGCAAAAGAACTTGGTGTAAATTGGACTGGTAAGAAATATTTTTTTATTTATTACTGTAAACCTTTAAACAGGATGCCACTTATCTTGAATACTAGCAAGGAATGTAAGGAGGTATCTTAAAAATCAATTTCATTCGCCTAAACATAAATGCTTTAAAATATGAAATTCCCTAAAACTACAAATTTATAAACAATAATATCAATTAAAAAAAATCATTTTTCTGAATTAAATTACATGTATTTATTGCAAAGAATGTGAAAACAAGGTGGGAGTCCTTTCGCATATCATTCACTCGTCTTAGGAAAAATAATGAAGGAGAAGACGAAGTCAGGAGCTTGTCAAGTTAGGATAAAGGAAGCACGAAAGCATCGGTTGGAGGTGTTAGGTATTCTAAGTGAGCACTGGTGAATAAACTTTTCTTAAATCATTCAAAATGGTCTCCTTTTATTATTTCAGATAGACATAATGACACAACCACGTGCAATGGGCGAACGAACAGCATGGGGAGCATTCCTTGCTAGTTCATGCCAATCTATTGACGCAAATCAGTTCCGGATGTTCCAGAAAGAGAGCTGGAATGTTGTTCGTAAATACTTTCCCGAGATCCCTTTGCCACCATGTGCACATCTTCCACCGCCCTCAGCATTTCCTTCATTCCATGCTCCTTG